ACATATCCCCTGCCTAATTGGACATTGTCCAAGAAGTTTCCAAACAGAAGATTTGCAGAACCCAAATGCTGAAAGGAGCCAAATTCTGCTTGACAGAAAGGTTTGGTTTCTTTTTAGCGACGTCTTTGTTTATTTGTGATTAAATCACTACTAGAAGCTGGGGGGTGTCCGCACCCCTCCTGACCGCACCGGTAACCAGAGCAAAAAGCGTTGCCTCCCTGACCCCAGCTGTAATCGGTTACGACCTCGTTATCTGCACAGAGTTAATTAGGAGGCTCCAGAGACAGTCTTGCAGCTCCTGCCTCTGGAGCCTTCTCCTGCAGAAACGCTACCGAGCTGCCCTGGCTCACGCGGGAGGTGGGTGGGCTGGAGGGGGGTTCCCCAAGCGCCGCTGGGAAGCTGGAGCGGGCGCTCCATCTGCCGCCGGGTGCTTTTCCTCAAGTGCTCTGGGAGGAAATTGGAGGCGAAGGGAGGAAGAGGAGCAGCATGGGGGCCCTTTTCTGCCAGGTCTGGGCACCCAGGGGTGATTTTTACCCTTTTTTTTCCTGCTTCCCAGTTATTAATCCGCCTGAACACCCTTGTGGCTGGCAGCTCCTAGGGTACCCCAAGTGATTCAAGCTTTTTACTAGTGCGAGGGAGCATTGGGTTCCCTGCCATCTGCATCAGCAGGCTCGTATGTTTTCCATCTGGGGTCTAGAAAGATGGAAAATTATCCAAATTGGATTTTTTTTTTTTAATCAGATTTTTGCATCATGTTCCAAAGCATGAGTAACTGTTAAGACGTGGCCTTGAAGCACGACTTCAGCCAGAAGAAACAGCAAAATGGGGGAAGACGTTCATTTTACTTCAAACTATTGACAGGCTAAACAACTAGTTCAGGGTGTTTTTAACCATGTTGTTGCTCATGCTGTATGAAAAACATCGAGATTTCCTCTTCTATCCTGGTTAGCGATGAAAATCAAAAGTTCTTGGTTGATTTTTCAAAGAACAATTTTTGGCCAATCAGAATATTTGACTTTGAAAAATTTTACCGATTTCAGTTGCTTTTAAATGGGTCCTATAGAAATGTAAACAAATTAAAAGATAGGTAAATTTAGAATGTAGCTTTGAAAGGATTGAAATGTCTTGTTCCGCACATGTTGGAAGGAGATATTTTTACATTAAGGTTGTTTTGTAATATTGAGGGCGGGGAACAAAGATTTATTTTTCTTTGCGGTTTCAGTCTTTCAAGTCGCATTCCGAGCGCTAGGAAAATGCACCAGACAATGTGCAGGGAAGTTCAGGTGCTGAGTGCCTCCTCTGGGGCGGCTGTGCCAGTCGCTGGCTGACTCCTCGGCTCCGCCGGCTGTCAGTGGTGGTGCAGGGACACGGTGTGACCATGTCTCACCAGCTGCCTTCTCCTTTGCCTCCCACACGGCACAGTGGCAAAGCTATTTTGAATCAAAGATGAATCAATTCCTTTCTCCCAACTGCTTCATCTTCAGCAGGAGCTCTCCTAGAAATGTGGTATATCCATTTAAGCAACATATTTTCTCAAGTCAGGGGCTTCCAAGAAAGCAGTTTTCACTGATGTTGGGAGGGATCTAGGGTGGCTCGTAGTTGACACCTGCTGGGTGTAGCTGCAGCAGGTTATAAGGCATTTCTGTCCCCTTTTGTGACTTTTTTTTTCTACAAAATGGGCAGTTGCTCTGCTCTGGTAGGTGCAACTTGCAGCCCACCTTGCAGTGGATGTGCTCCTCAGCTGGCTGCCAGCAACCTGCCCCGGGGGAGGACAGGGAGATGCATCCCGGTTTGCCAGCCTGATAGAGAGGAGAGAGGGAGGACATCCCCCCCAAGCCAGACTAAGCCTCTCCTCTCCTGAGGGGACTGCTGGAGCTGGCCATCCCCAGCTAGAGGCTGTGAGATGCGCAAGGAGCGACACAACCACCGCGCTTTCCGTTGGTTGATGGGTTATCACATCGGAAATTTCCATGACTTAAAGGTGTCTGGGTTGACCTGTTTGACCAGTTTATGTATTGGGATGGAAAAAAATGCCATCAGACAGTGTGGAGGGCAATGTGGGGAGGAGGGAAGGGTGGGAAGAGACGTGGTTTGGGAGAGAGACTCTTCCAGGCAGCTGTTCGCAGCACTCCCACCCAGCACTTGCACATGAGTTTTGCTCAGCCAACCTTTCTGCAAGTGTGCAGTTGCAAGTGTGTGTCCCCTTGGAAAATGTCCCTCCAAATCCTTTGTCCCTGATTAAAATTTAGGAGGAAAGACCTTCATACTGCATTGCTGTATATAGCTGTGATGTGGCCTGTGTTCTGCATCCATGTCCTTCAGGAATTTGGTCTAGAAAGTCAGTTGGGGGGACCTGGGACATCTCAGTCCCAAAATGTTTTTTGGCGCTAGTTTTCATGAGGATAGAGCTCTCCTGGGGGGAATTATTTCTCATCTGCTTGTTCTTCACTTCCATCTTCTTTCTCTCTCCATCCCCTAACTCTCCCACTGAACTGGGATTCAGTGGGACTCTGTAAGTGGTAACTGTGGGCTCTTGTTGATATAATAATTTTGCTGTAACTTTTTGTGTGCTGAGGGCAGAAGTCTGAATTAAAATTCTCTTTCATTTGACAAAAGTGAACAGAAAAAAAATTGTTGTGCTGTTGCCAGCATTTGATACGGTCATTGAATTATAAAGGGAGGAGAGTCTTGGCTTTGATTTCCCTATCTCTGAGGCTTGTCAGACATGGAAGATAACCTCTGAGCATGCTTTAAGAAAGCTCTTTGAGATTACAATGGTTTGTCTCAGACTTTAGGAGACAGGGTAGGTTGTTTCATGAGTCTGTTGTCCCGGCAGCATGCAACAAGATCTGAAGACGTGTAATAAGATAAACAAGGAGGTCTCAGCTCTTCTGAATGTCAGCTCACTTCAGAAGCAGATGTTTTGCACTGGACTAGTTCCCCATGCCCTCTGCTTGCCCCCGGCAGCACCAGCACACATCCCCCCTGGGGTAAACGTTTTCTCCTTGACTGGCAGAAGGTACCAGGGCTGGGGTCTGTCCTCTCTCAGGGCACCAAAATGCTTAAGGCAGCTCAGTGTATACCTCTGGGAAACTGTGTGTTGGAGATGTCTCCAAGCCGGGAGGCTAAGTCAGTCATGGAAAGGGTGGCCGAGTCTTGGTCACCAATCTTGGCTTGGTCTTGGGTAGAGCAGAGGAGTAGGAGTCAGGGCTTGCACTGAGCTCTCTGCCCCCTCTGCCTCTCGCCTCTCCTGAGCTACACCTCTGGGAAATAGCCACAGCCCTTGACATTGCACAGTACTATAGCGTACAGAGCCCGAGTGGGGTCTGGCCCCTCCTGTGCCCTCTCCGCCACGGCAGCTTGCTGCCTCGGCAGTCTGCAGCCCGCTGCTGACTGGGCTTAAATTTCTTAAACAGCATGTTGGGCTGTTGTTAAACAAAGAGAAGGTTTCTGTACAGCGATAGGGATCAAAATAACAGCCTAAGCGGCTTTCGGATGTGGATGAAATTCCCTCCCGAGCGAGGGGCCCAGGCCGAGGTAACACTTGGTTTTACAGGCTGCTGTGCGGCTCTGCTCAGACAGATTAACGTCCAGTGACTTCCTCGGGTTGCATATACCCCGGAGGATGGAAACACAGAGGTTTGTCTGATATGGCTCCGTCCAAGGAAGTTTCTAAACGGCTTGTGAAAGCCGAGGAGCTGAGAAATCATTAGGTTGCCGAAGGGGAAGAAATCCATCTTCTAAATGCTAAGGTTATGCGCAAGGCTTGGAGAGTGCTTCTCTCCATCTGCATTCACGTGCTCTTCTGCCAGTGGTGTGAGGGAGCCACAGCCTTCCAAAGCAATCTCAGGTACTTCATTGCTTACAGGAGTGATGAGTTTGCCCTATCAGAGGTGTTCCTGGCTGGTGATGGAGAAGCGGTTGCTACCAGGTCTGAAGATCTTGGAAGATACTGATCCTAAGGGACTATTCCGTGTTTGCACTGAAAGAACATAGCTGGGGGAAATTGTAATCCTGCTCGTGTTAATCCAGCTTCTTCCCCTATGGGTAAGGTACAGATGGAGCTGTGTATGTAGCTCATTGACAGGAAGGAAAGGAGGAGGCCTTCAGAGCTCCTGGGATGCCCACAGGGGAAGGAGGTGAGAGGCAGAACCCAAGTGCCTCCAGTAAAAAGGATATTGCACACCTTTACCTATTAGCAGCCAGTCCCAAACTCCCCCCGAGTGCTCGAGCCACACCACAGGGCTCCACCAGCCTTGTTTTCAAGTGTCCTTCAAGCTGTGGACGAGATGCACCATCACGGGACCGCTCTGCAGGCTGCAGAGCTCCTGTACGAAGCGCTCGCATGCCTCCCGTTGTCACTGTCACCAAGAGTGTCCTCCTCACATCCCGCTCACCGGCAAGGCCACCTGCACAGCTGGAAGAGGCACAGTCACTTTCTGGATGAAGCTGCATCCTCAGATGCTGGATGTAAATCCTCCATCATCCTACTTCATTCAACGGTGCCAGGTCCCATTCGTTGCTGTCACTCCTGTTGCAGAGCCAGGATATAGGTGAAGGTAACTGGCGTAGGAGAGGGTGGCCGAGGTGTCTTCATGGCTTATGTCTCCTGAGCATGCTGCTTTGGCAGGGGTGATGGGTGCCAGCCATGTGTCTGGAGGCTGCAAGACATAGTTGGAGACTGCCAGGAGCAGGGTACCAGGCTGTGAAATGGGATGAGAGCGTTCAAACCGACTTCTTCTGGAAGAACTCTCCTTGTAGGTTTGCAGTACAAAAGCTGGCAAATCAATTGTTTAACCACTAAAGCCACCATTACAGCTCAGACCTGCTCCTGAAAAGGAGATGACCTCTGTAAGGAGAAGATGTGTTTTAGCCCCGTGCACAAAAAGTTAGCACACATTTGTAATCTGGCTAATTCTAAGGGCTTGCAGAGGGGGAGGGGAAGGGTGGGGGGGAGGAATCCTGACCCCCGCTCACAGTCACCACGTTTCTCTCTCCAGCGCCTGGTGCGGATGAACATGCCGATCTCGCCCGAAGATTTAACCGTCCACTTCACGTCCACGCTGATGGCCTTGATTCGCACTGCCCTAGAAATCAAACTCGCCTCAGGTGAGAGGGAGGTGATGTCTGACAGCGTGCGTGGGCTCAAACCCCAACTTTTGTGTTGGCTTGGTGTCCTCCCAAAACCACCGAAGTCCTGACCCGGGTGGAAATCCTCTTTTCCTATTGCCTGTCTGCCAGCACCCGAGGACAAGGGACCCTCAGGGACAGGAGACAGAGAATGGTCCTGAGCATTGCTCTGCCTTTGGGGTGGCCACATCCTCGCGTCCCTGTCGATGAGATACGGGGAGCTTTGGCCATCCCGGTTGGGAGCGCCCAGCGGAGACGCCCTGCACGTGTGCTCGTTGCTGTATAGCAGG